CCGTGATTTCAGGGGAAGCTGTTCATACAAAAACTACATGCAAGCAGGGTTTTTGAAGCCAGAGCAAAAGCTGAACTCACAGAATTCAGGAATATATTATCCAGGAAACAAAAGAAAACCAAGGGTTACAGCAATAAGCTTTTTCTAATAAGACGGCAGTCACATCTATAGTGTTTTAATTTCTTCACTTCTTACAGGCTCACATGACAAAAACAGATTTTAGGGTGCACCTGAAAGAAGCAAGGGGGCACAAAAGTACTGCAAGGGAACAGCAAGAATAGTAATATTCTGTGACATACCGTGCTAACTTCTTCAAAATGATCAGTATGACATCCCATAAGAAAAGATGTTGGGGCCATTACAAAATCCAGCATTTGACGAGAGAGAATAGGCACAAAAGTGTGTTGCCACTGAAGAGGATGGAGGTATAACATAAAGCATTCAGCCACGAGTGTCAGCAGGGCCCAGTCAGAAGAGAAGAAAACAATTCTCTGCTCAGTTAAAATGCAGGTCATAATCTGGAAGTAACAGAATAAAAGATGTTTAACTTTCTTAAGAGTTAGACCTAGAAAATAAAATATACAGATATTTTATCTGTGAGTGAAACTAAGCCTCACATATTCATAAACAGAAGTAATGTCCACTTAGGAAATTCTTGTAAAATTAATCACAGATGAAAGTTGAAATTGAGAGAATTGTCAATATCAAACCCATTTTAAAGTATTTGTTAGCTGATTTTACCTGCAGAACCTGCTCTGGCTTGAAACACAGCAACGGAAGATGAAGATCCAGGTCAATAATTGGACTGTCTGGATCCTCTCGTGAAGGAATTATTATTTGAAGCGGTTTCATATTAAATACCTGTTATAACAGATGTTTTCCATTTACTACTTTAATGAAAGTGGTCTCACAATATATTGTATTCATAACTTTAGTTTCATCTACAAAACATTCAGATTACTTGACAGCAGAGAGACAGGTATTTGCATACTGCAGAAAAATGGAAGAGAGGCTAGAGAAATATTAAAAAACATTAGAACTAGTTCTAAAAGATTAACATGGACTTTGTTTCCTTTCATTATCATAGCTTGTTTGGCAAATAAAGCCTACAAAAATAATGAAATATCCTTTAAACGGAGTTATAAAACCCACTTTCCATAAGCATAGCAAAATAGTGGGATTTATATGTACAAATATAATTGAGAAATCCAAGTATTAATAAAATCCAAACTAAAAATGAGAGTCTGAACAAAAAACTCTGCACTGGAGAGTAAAAACTAAACAGAATAACCAATTGCTATGTCAAGATGCAAGCCTGCACCCTGTAGACATCATTATTTGATCTGCTAATAACACAGAGCTTTTATTTTCAGAGCATAGGTTTTAACATCAATTTTATGCCAGTGGGTAAAATCTCTTAAGCTGACAGCGAAGGACTTTCTCCAAATTACAGAAAACAGCATTCCAGTACTTTACAACACATAACGTTGAAGTAATTAAGAAATTCAGCATCGGTAATTACCAAGTGGAGTGGTCCTGGAGGAGGGCTAGGTATTAAAAATAACTTTGCTGCAAATTCTTTTATATGCTCATCCACATCAAAATTCTTAACAGGTCGCAGTTGCACTAGTAAGCTGAAAGTAAATTACAGCAAATTATTTATTAATATTTACATGCAAACAAGAACTTTTTT